CACCTGAAGAAGCAAAAGTTGTTTCCTCGTGGGAATACCCTTTAACATAGATTCGCAGTGCTGCTGCAATATGAACCACGGCCATAAAATATGGTGCTACAAATCCCCATGAGAGATAACAATGTGATGAAAACAATGCTCGATTCATTATCCAATTAACCTTGGTTGTATAAGATTCTAAAACAAACGTCTGCTTTCTCAAGTAATTCCAGTACCTACATCAGAAGTCAAAATTTTAACACAGAGAAGTGCAGCAAATTAAGTTTCAGAAATGCACAAAACAAACCTCCCAAAACTAAGATCACTTCCGAGAGGATGAGGAAAAACGGCTACAGGAGGAGATGTTATAAGTCTCTTATGAGCCCCTGAAAGAAACAGTAAAACAACAATCCAAAGCTACAGCTTTCAGCAGTCTACAATCACAATATACTAAGATCAATCTATAGAGACAGAAAGCTTGATTTAGCTCTAGTTTGAACAGAGAAGAGAAAATTAAGTACATTACCAGCAATAGCTGCGAGAGTCATATCATCAGAGTATCCACCATCTTGAAGCCCCGAGACCACACCATAACGGTCATGTCTAAAATCATCTGCATGCATCTGAAACAATCTAGAGCAATCAGAATAACACTCGTACTAGACTCGGCACTTAAGAGAAGTTAGTAACAACTTACCATCATGCATCCTCCCCACAAAAAGAATGTTTTTCCCCCAGTAGCAAATCCCATTGAGCAAGGCTATGAACAGAAAAGTCCAAACCATTCATTAACTGAACAATGTAATAGTCGAGTTAAATGGAGCAAGTAGAAAAACACACACCAACCAAATACCTATAAGATGCGCAATTTTCTTTCCCTTGGGGAGCGGGGTTTGGCCAATAGATATACAATTTTGACTTAGAAAGAGTCTATTTTCTAATAAACACTGGCAAATCGAACATAAAGTTAATCCAGCCAGGATTGCCACTAGCCTAGTGATCAAAAGTGAGAGTCTACAGCTTTGTTCCCAAATCATTGTTTTCAGCTCCTGACCAACATTAAGCATCATTATTGTAGAAGAAAAACCATAATTGCAAAGAGATCTGGTTGTCGATCTATTTAAGTCTTTCCTTAATGCAACTAAATATGGGAACTTTAAATTTAACACCTCAAGAAATATTTGTAATTTGCTATTATGGAATTTGAAAAAAAAAATCGAAAAAAATAAAATTTGAAATTTGAAATTTGAACAAAATAAAATCTTATACATGATACCTAGGATAAATCACATTGTCATTGAATGACCAGGAAATCACATTTTTTTAAGTGACCAACAAAAACCCATTGGTTTATCCCTTTCTTTATTTTGCATAAATGGGAGCTTCTCCAAAGCCAAGCTGAGCCATGATGTATACTGTCATTACATATTTGAAGTAATGGCATTGTAATTGTGGAATATTGAAATTGGTGGAACTTCTCATAATAAAGAATGCTTAAGGTCATGACTCATGTATAGACACACGACATAGCAAAGAAAAACTAAGCTTCAGATTCAGTAACTCCTATGAATGAAACCATACCATATGATACTCATAAATGCAGTAACTCCCTAAGCTTCCAGAAGGTAAATCAAGAGGGTACCCAGTTTGAATAAATATCTGCACAACACCGATGCTACAATTAACACCATAAAAAAAGAATCCATGGTTTAGCTTTCTGGTAATATCCAATTTGCTTATATTTGTTCTTGTAGCTACCAGTGTTCATGCTACAATACCTCGGGATTTTTCTCCATCTCAGCAGTGAGGGCCCCAATTGACCCAGGGTGCAGCCTAACATCATCATCCAAAAATAATACATATTTGCTGTCTTTGTGCATTTTCTCAACTCCAACCTACAAAAAGGCACCATGGCTTATAGTTTAACACTAACCTGGGACATAAACTAGCAGACCAGGCAAACAACCAGTCTAAAATAAGCATGTAGATGCAGGTTTCGTAGACTTTTCAATTTACTCCTCAGAGATTTCACTAATTTACAAACTTTACCCAACACTTGATCTAGACATATATTCTATCCATAGAATATAAACTAAAAACAGCCAAGATCTGGAAACAAGACCGGCAATCATGTTTTCCCACCAGAGAGGAGAACAAAAAATCATACTATAAGCATAATCGACAACTCATAAAGGCTATTTGGCAAGTTGTAAAAACCTCTTACTTACCAACTGATTATGAATTTTCTGACTACAAGTTGTTGATAAACCAGCTACAACAATCTTAGCTTCAACATCATCCTGCGCACATTAAACAGCATAAAATCAACAAGGAGAGCCACAATGAAAAAGTTCAAATAAAAGTCCTCAAATAGCCACATTCATGGAAGATAGCAAAAGGCAAGAATAATAGATTTGACATTGAGACTTATCCACCAAAAAGAACAGAAAATTTTGGGAAAAGATGAAGCCACATACTTCAATCAAAATATTACAATACCTTAAAATCTGATATTAACCGAGATACAGCATGATAAGCAGGGTCTTCCGTACTTTCCACCACAAAAAGAAATTCCAATGGACCACCATAGAGAGAAGTGATCTGTGTTAATTAATGAATTAAAATTGAAGCACTTAACAATGACAATATTTTAGCAACTAAGATGCAAAACTTCATTACTAGAGCAAGGATTTCAGATGCGATAGCAAACAGTAAACCTGAATCATATTCCAGATGCCCAATGATTAGCTAGAAGGAAAAAAGTTGGCACGTCTCATTTGAGAAACCAGTTCCCAAGATATTACGAAGGACATCAACTTTATTTTATTTGGTGATGATGGCGAAGATGTATAAATTGCAACCATGCTCAAAATAGTTTTTAAATGAAATTGATGCAGTCGTTCATTGTCTACTGCCTCAAAAATTAAAAAGTACTTTCTTAAGCAGGGATGAGAATTCTTTTTTAATAGAAAATGATTTGGGTCAGGCTCTTGAAATGCCAGATTAAAAAATTCACCCACCACCAGGCTTGCCCTGAGTGGTTTTATTTTTTCTTTCCCATCAGAGAAAAAGTTCTTAAATCAAAGAACATTAGAATCCCGCCAGTGAAACACTCACCTGACTTCTCCAGTTATGTAGATTATGCTCGCCAAAACCCTTTAAAGGCATAACAACAGTCACCCTTGGAAGATTGACCTGATTAGAGTGCTCAAGCTCGTTAATATTATGACACAGAAATGCAAAAGCATTGCCAGCTCTCATGCTATCCTTCATTCTCTTGATCTCTCTATTCCTGCAGTGAAGAGATAAACTAGCATGAGAAATTTGTCAAGGACTAATCATATGGGGTAGACGGAGGCAGCCTATTTTCTATTTCTGTTGATTATTTTCTGTTAGTATTTCCTTATTACCTGTTTCTGTTTTGCTCAGATATGCTAAAATATTCCTAATGACAGCTGTCACCCAGCTGTATTGTACCCTTGTCCTTTCAACGTACCGACGATTGGTACTATTAACAGGTTGTTATGTGACAGAATGAGTATCCAGAATTTCCAAATTTCCTCTGCTGTCTCTTCTACTCTGTATTCTTCCCCTGCATTCTTCTCTCTTTTCCTCATTTCCTCTTCTATTCTCTCCCCTTAGCTCTCCTGAATCTATCTTGGAAACCCTAATGACTCAGGTACCAGACAACCCGGTATCAGAGTGAAATGACCCCGGAGTACCCATAGCAGCTGTTTCCAAGCTGGCAAAGGGAAAAAGAAATGCCGCCATGAGTGATACCCAGAGAATGTCTCAACTTGAGGACATTATCCGTGGGAATGACCAACGACTCCAGGACTTTATGATTGAAATATATGAAGCTATGGGTGCAATGATGCCTGTATGTAGGCAATGATGGCGAAAACCATCAAAACCCTCTTCACACCACGTCAACCTCCTCAAAAACCATCTCCTTTACCACCATTTACCATACAACCGACCGATTAGGGCCAAATTTTACAGGCTCCTACACCAAACAGAGGCATCTGCCTACTCCTGGAGCCAAGGATAATTTGGGTGGCAGCCAAACTCTCAACACCCTCGGGAACATGGGAGGCAATGTACCTCACACTGGCATTCCCATTTTCAAAGGAATAAACCCCAGAGTGTAGCTTAGGCATTGCCATAAATATTTTCAGATTTATGGAGGCCCTGATGAACAAAAAGTAGAAGTAGCTGCCCTGTGTCTTGAAGATAAGCTAGACATTTGGTACCAAGGCTAGCAAGCACAAGGAGGAGGAAGGGACTAGATCCAATCTGAGACAGAACTATGTAGGTGTTTTGGAGACCTTTCGGTGGCCAATGTGCTAGGAGATTTCAACAAGCTGGTGCAAGAAGGAAGCTTACCAGAATGCCAGGAGTGTTTTGAGAAATTGAGGTTGATGATGCTGAAAATAAACCCCCGCTTGATGAAGTTTATTTCACATCAAACCTCATAAGTGACATCAAGGAGAAACTAAGGCCTATTGGCTTTTACAAACCCCAACACTCAACATAGCTTATGAGCAAAGCTTGCTGCAGTCCGAGTATGATGAGGAGGCATAGAGGACCCTGGAAATACTCCCACCCACCTTACAAACCTCACATTTCAAACTTTTCACCAAATCCACCAGAACTCAACAAAAATCCATCATCTCAAAGACCAAACAACTCAACACTGCCCCCTAAAACAGCCCACACAGAACCAAGGAAGAATAATACCTGTATGTGCCAAAAGAAATATTTTCCACGCCACCAGTATAAGGAAAAACAGTTGATGATGCTCGAGGTCAATGGGGAAAAAAGAGAGGAAGAGGCTGAGGAAAGAGTGGAACCAATGGAGGAAGATGTTGCACTTATAGCAAATGAGATTGTTGATGAGATGCTTAAAAAGAAGAGGAGAGTTGTTTTATGTAAACTAGATATGGAAAAGGCATATGACAACGGGAATTGGGCTTTTGTTAATTAAATGCTGAAAAGATTGGGTTTTGGAGATAAATGGAGAAAATGGATTACATCCTGTATCACTTCGGTGTCTCATGCGGTAATCATAACTGAAGAACCTTCAGAATCTTTTAAGTCTTCAAAAGGATTGAGACAAGGGGACCCACTATCACCACTTTTGTTTATTGTGGTAATGAAGGATTTGAATAGAATGCTTCTAAAAGCTAGGGAACTGAACTTATTTTCGGGTCTGCATGTTGGTGACGGAAGTTGTATGGAAGAGATCACACATCTATTTTTTACAGATGATGTCCTACTTTTTTGTAAACTGAAGAACACAGCTGTGATGAATATTAGATATATTTTAATGGGCTTCCAAGTGGTTTCAGATCTGAAAATAAATTTGGCAAAATCTGAGTTTGTAGGGACGGGTGAAATGGAGCAACAATCGAATTTGGCTGAGGTTATTGGCTGTAAATCATCAAATTTCCCTATTAAGTACCTTGGGTTGCCATTGGGTGCTACTTACAAAGATCAAAGGGTTTGGGAACTGCTTAACAGCCAAATTGAGAGGAGACTTGCAGGGTGGAAGCGGGGTCTGCTCTCTGAAGGTGGCTGCTTGACTCTAGTAAAAAGAACACAATGCAATTTGCCAATTTATTACCTATCTTTGTTTACTATTCCGGCTAGTGTTGCAAAAAAATTAGAATCTATTCAGTTAAAATTTCTTTCGGAAGATAGTGTGGATGCTAGAAAGTTTCATTTGGTTGCTTGGAACGAATTGAAAAAACAGTTACAGAAGGGTGGACTAGGGATACGGTCTTTGATCGAGATGAATCAAGCTTTACAAGATAAATGGTTATGGTGATTCATGAATGAGGATAACGCTATGTGGAGGAGAGTGATTGCCTCCAAATATGGGCTGGATGCGTTCGGGTGGCTGACTCTTGGGGGGTAAAGAGCTCATAGTAAATGTTTGTCGAAAAAATTTGAAAAAGGTAAAGAAAAGTTTCTGAACCAAATTACTTGGAAGGTAGACTGTGGGAATCGAATCAGTTTCTAGAATGATCATTGGCTGGAAGGGGGTCCACTCAGAGATAGATTTTTCAATGTTTATGCTATCTCCATACACAAGGCAGCCCGTGTTTCGGATTGTTTTGAGAGAACTTAGAATGGTGAAGGATATTGGGAGGTGGTGGTGAGCCGTATTGCTAGGGTACGAAAAATTTGATGAAGATCCTAGCTGGAGTCAATTTGGGCAACAATATGGAAAAGCCTTGGTGGAATATCAATTAAAAAGGTTTGTTCCCGGTAAAATCCTGGTACAAAAAATTGATGCAGCATGGTGTGTCTGCACAAATGATTGATGGTGAAAAAAATTTATTCCCATTCAAACAGATCTGGAAAGTTAAGGTCCCTCCTCGGGTTTCTTCTCTTGCTTGGGAAGGTAGCAGGAAGTGTATCTTAACAATTGATAAATTAAAAAGAAGGGGTTTCACTTTGGTTAATGCTTGTTACCTATGCAAACAGGCTAAAGAATCTTGCTGCCACCTTCTGCTGCACTGTCCTGCTGTTTATCCACTGTGGTGTGAGGTATACAGATGCTTAGGGATCAACTGGGTTATTTCGGGCTCGGTAAGGGAGGAGATTGGGGCTTGGGAGAGTTTGAAAAGCTGCTATTTTTTGGCAGACATTATTCCTCGAAGTATTTTTTGGGTTGTATGGAAAGTTATGAATTGTAGAGCTTTTGAAGGAATAGAGGATACAAAGGGTTTTGATGTACTGAAAAAATAGACACTAGAATTTTTGCTTTCGGGTCATCATCCGATTATGGTTCAAATATTTAGGAACACTTTCTGTTTGGAGGATTAAGCTGTAAATAATTGTACATGATTTGCACCATTTTGGTGCTTATAGCAATACATATTATACTTTTACTTTCAAAAAAAAAATTACAAGACAATTGAGCTGAACTGGAAGATACAACAGCAACAATTCAGAAGCTATTTCCCAGTGGTAGACTGGAATATTATGACATTATTTTGGGCACAAATTGGATGTGGAAACACAACCTGGTTTCTTTTAACTATGATAAGGAACAAATGACAGAGCCCAGGCAGGACGGCAAAGGAGATACAAAAACTGCGGGGAAGAACAGCTTAAAGGGGATGACAAGAGAAGGGCTTGAGAAGTCAATGCAGAAGGCTTGCAAAGGAGCACTTGGTACCATTTACTCTATTCAATCTCAACCCACATTAACAAAGAGTCCAGCGGAACCAGAAGCACTGGTGGAACCCCTACAGACCCTTATAAGGGAACACCAACAAGTGTTCAAGGAACCAATGGCTCTGCCACAAGCAGGGATCAAGATCACCCTATCCCACTGATTCCCGAGCTACACCCATCAATACAAGGTCCTACAATTATCTACTACCCTGAAAGAGCTGAAATTAAAAAACAAATCATGTAAATACTAGATAGCTCTATTATTCAACATAGTCATAGTCCATCTGCATTTCTTATCTGTTAGTTAAAAAGACGGATGGATCATGGAAATTTTGTGTCAACTATAGGTAACTTTTTTTTTAATAACAACTATAGGCAACTTAGTGCCATAACAGTTAAGAACAAGTACCTCATACTTACTTGTCATTAATGATTTTATTAGATGAGATACATGGGGTTTCCATCTTTTTCTAAGAATGATTTTCAGGCTGGGTACAACTAAATTCATATAAAGACTCAAAAGCACTCATAAAACTGCATTTAGAGCTCACAACAGGCACTATATATTCAAAAAAATGCCTTTTGGCCTTACCAATTCCCCAGCCACTTTTCAGTCCCTCAAAAATTTGTGCTAATTTTTTTTAATGATTCTTGATGTATAGCAAAAGGATGGAGCAGCATTTAGAGCACCTTGGGAAAGTGCTTAGAATCCCACAACAATACCAGTTGTATGCCCGAAAATCAAAATGTTGTTTTGGCCAAAAATAGGTGGAATTCCTTGGTCATATCATCAAAGAAGAAGGGGTTCAAACTGACATCACTAAGATTGAAGCCATGACCATATGGCCAAGGCCGACAGGTGTGAAAAGGCTGAGGGGATTTCTTGGCCTGATCAGCTGTTACATAAAATTTGTGAGGAATTATGGACGTATAAGCAGACCCCTGATGGATCTCTTGAATAGAATTCTTTTCTGTGGGGTGAGGAATTGGAGAAAGCTTCATGGCACTAAAGAGAGTCATGACTGAAGCACCAGTCCTGGCACTCCTTGGATTTTCCCAACATTTTGTTATTGAAGCCGATGCCTACAAAAAGGGGATAAGAAAATGCAATAGGACAAGCCAATAGCTTACCTCAGTAAGGTCCTAAGAATCAGTCCTTCTCCATATATGAGAAAGAGCTGCTAGCCATCGTTATGGTTGTGTCATGCTGGAGATACTATGTGAAGGGTTCTGAATTCATCATATCAACTGATTAGCAGAGCATTAAGCACCTGTTGGAGCACAAAAATCAGACTTTTATGCGGGCCAAAGGAATCGTGAAACTGTTAGGATTAAACAACAAAAGAATTTACAAGAGAGGGATTGAAAATGGAGCGGCTGGTGCCTTATCCAGAAGAAATTCCCTGGCAGAACTCAATTAAATCACTTCAATAGTGGTGCCCACTTGGATGCAAGAAGTTCATTCATCCTATCCAAGAGATCCAAAGACCCAGGAACTCATTAGGAAACTGACCATAGCACCCCGATCCAAACCACCACACACATGAGCATGGACTACTACACTGCAAGACCAGACTGTTTATCAGGGAAAATACAAAGTTAAAGGAGTAGCTGATGAAATTGCATCATGATTCTCCAGTGAGGGAGCATTCGGGCATAAGGAGCACTTACAACTGGCTGAAACAAGGATTCTGTTGGCTGAAGATGAAGCAGAATGTGACTGAGTGGGTGCATAAATGTGATACTTGCCATAGGTACGAGGGAGAAAATGTTCCATATTCCGGACTGTTGCAGCCCTTGCAAGCTCCAAAGCAAGCTTGTAGTCATGTCACCATGGATTTCATAGAGCAGCTGCCTAGATTAGATTTATGTGCATTTCGTAGTCGTGGCATTTTGTAGTTGTGGCTCATCCTTTCACAGCTCAAAAGGTGGCTAGAGTTTTTATGGATATTGCTTATAAGTTGCATGGAATGGCACAGTCCATTGTTACAGATGGGGACAGGATTTTTACAAGTCAATTCTAGCAGGAGTTGATGCAGATGATGGGAACTCGGCTTCAATTCAGCACCACCTACCACCGCCGATCTGACGGGCAGACTGAGAGAGTAAATCAGTGCATCAAAAATTCTCTCTCATGCATGACATTAAGAAAGCCAAAGGCTTGGACCAAATGGTTGAATCTGACCAAGTGGAGGTACACCAGGACTTATCAAGCAAGCTTGAAAATTCCTCCATTCATGGCATTACATGGATATGCACCACCATTTATCATTGAGCAAAGAGGAATAGACAAGAAAAGGAGAATTGGAAGGATGGCTGGAGGAAAGGCACGAAATGAATCAATTACTGAAGGAAAAATTATTGGAATCCCATAACAGAATGAAGTTCTATGCATATATCAGGACAGAGAGGTCTTTTGAAAAGGGGGTCTGGTATTACTTAAGCTCCAATCTTATAGGCAGGCGAGCATGGGCAATAAAAAATGCCTGAAGTTAACCCCAAAATATTATAGGCCCTTCAAAATTATGAAGGTAACAACCGTAGCTTACAAACTGGAATAACCACCTGAAGCCACCATTAACCCGGTCTTCCAAGTCTCACTACTTAAGCATCAAGGAAATCCCCCACCAAAAGGCAACCAGTTACCAGAAACAGATGTTGAAGGGCAGATCAAGGTAGAACCTGAATTCATATTGCAGAAAAGAACCATATGGAGGAAGGGCAAACTGATAGAATAAGTGTTGGTAAAATGGGTCAATTTGGGACCTAAAGAAATTATTTGGGAAGACAGGAAGTTCTTGAAAAGTCAGTTTCCTCATTTAAACCTTAAGGACAACTCAACCTTCAAGCAAAGAGAGAATCTCATGGCCTAATCAGCTAGGGTAGCAGGAGGCTACCTATTTTCTATTGTTGTTAGTTATTTTCTGTTAGTATTTCCTTATTACCTACTTCTGTCTTGCTCAGATATGCTAGAATATTCCTAAGGGCAGCTGGCACCCGGTTGTATTGTACTGCTGTCCTTTCTTCGTATCAATGATTGGTACTATTATTAGGTTGTTATGTCCCAGAATGAGTAATGAGAATTATCCAGAATTTTCAAATTTCTGCTACTGTCTCTTCTACTCTGCATTCTTCTCTCTTTCCCTCATTTCTTCTTCTATTCTCTCCCCCTAGCTCTCCTAAATTTATCTTGGAAACCCTAATGAGTCAGGTACCTGACAAAAATTTAAATGGAAAACACAAGTTCTTAAAGTGACCATGAAAACAAAGGATGAGCTAACCATGTTATCCAAAATTCTATTGGTAAATCTTTATACCTGATATAAGCAGCAAAAGCCCACCCTAAGGCAAGAACTAAGCAGATTACACATCCCTGCAAATAACAAAAGAAAAACAATGAACTACAATCATTGAAGACTTTAAAAGTTTCACTGTTCAAGGTGTAAAGCATTCCCACAAACACAGACAGGCATAGAAGTGGAGAGATAAAAAAACAAACAGAACAAAAATGTAAACATAAAAACAAATACAATGCTTGCTGCAAAGCAGCCATCAAATCATAAAATTATTCTATGATTTCTTAAGAACAAAGAGAAAAGGAAACCACAATTACTGATGGTTCTTAAGTTGAAGTGCCACAAATGGGAACCAAGCTAATAGGAGCACCAAAACAGCACCCCAGTAGCCAATAAGGTATTGACACTATCTGATATTTGCCACTTGATATTCTTTAAAACTCATATAATCTTCACACAACTTTCAATTATCTTGCCCTTTCTGTGAATGTTTGTAAATAATTAAAATGGCATGCCCTTGCACAACATGAAATATTTGAAAACAATTGAGATGATATGCAACTATCTCACAACAAACAGAAAACACCCAGCGAAAGACAGGAAAAGCAGAAATTCCACTCCCATTAGAAGGTCAACAAAGAAAGAATCAAGAAGTGTAGAAATGGTGGCACATTGATGCAGCCTTGAGAATCAAACCAATATCAAATCCTATTCTTCATGTTTGGATAATCAGATAATGACTGAACTTCAACTTTGTGCAAATAGGCTGAGAAGTCCAAACTAAACCAATATTCAAACATTTGTCTTATAAAGACAACCTTAGAATACAACTAAAGGTAACAGCTGTTTTGACACCAAAAAGTTCTTGCGTACTAGTAAAGAAAAAGAAATAAATATTCCTACTTCAGCATACAAACAAAGATAACAGCTAGTTCAATGCCAAAAAGTTCTTCCATATTAGTCAAGCTATCATGATTCATGTCTACAGATGGAGAAAACGACACCTCCGCACCTAATTAACTTTTGACCAGATCCCTATAAGACAAGTCATCCATCCAGATACCAAATCCTCCCCCTGTGAAGAACATTTCTTTATCAAACAGCAAGGACCATGGGCATACATGAATCAGTTATGAGAAATCACATAATTGACTTCTGAAGCCTCAATTCCATATGCTAAATGCAACTATAGTTTCTTAAAAGCCCGTAGGTACCTTCTAATCATAAGGATTCTCTTAACGTAAAATAGATGAATAAACATTTTAGTGATCGAGAATATAGCAGTATTGTTTGCAGTCGGTGAAGCTGCCATCTCTATCTGCATATCTTTTTTGAATGATTTTTTCCCTGAGGAGATATCTACATATGTTATAAAGAAAAACACTAGATTTGGCAGGAACAAAAAAAATCAGATGGAAAAAGAAAAAGTTTCCAGTGGAGGGTTTTCCAGCTATACACATCCAAATAAGCATTCTCGTCCAACACGAGACATTTGTCCTAATTTTGAATTATATATAAACTGAGTCGATTGTGACCGGAAATCAAACATTTGGTCTTCTTTATGGCACAAGACATAGATGTTAACGACGTATACCTTTTTAGGACAGGAGGGAAAAGAAAAAGGACTTCCAATATTCTATTATTGAGTTATGCTTTCCGACTTTCTATAATCAAATCAAAGCGTACACGATTTTGCATAACGTCAAAGCTTCATAATGTATATAAGCAAAGATTTACGGTAAGAAAATAAATACTTGCAGTTTTGAAAGAAAAAAAATAAATAGCCATAGCGAAAACGTCGATTGCTCCCCGTAAATTAAGAAACCGAAGTCCATAGCCTGTCACATAAAACTACCGGAAAACAAAAGTAATAAGTAAGAATCTGAAAACTAGGTTCTAATTATGTAGCGAACACCATTAACCTAAAGAAAATTGATATCTGCTTTACTTTAAACAAGAAATCCATAAGGCCACAGAAATGCCATAATGTACATAATTCGTACTTTCTCCCTTCCTCAACCTTCTGAAGAACCAAAGAGACCTGGATCTAAATAAAGAAAAAGAAAATAGGAACCTGGATCTGGATGAAAACCGCAAAAGGACTACAGAAGGCTTTGCTGAAAGAGAAGAGAGCGGAATCAATAGAGTCCAATGCAGGCATTTTTGCTCCCTCTCTCTCTCTCTCTCTCTCTCTCTCTCGACCTCCCCTCTCTGTGAAGGAATACGGCTAAGAGAAAGAACAAAGCCTAGAATGTCCGCTCCAGAATCTCTCTAGTTCCCTTCCTTTCTCAAGCAAATTCTCGTTTGCCTCAGATCGCCATTAACGGAAGCAGAGAGAGAGAGAAGGGAGGAGCGAGAGGGACAAAAGAGAGAGAAAAGAGAGTCGTGTGAGAGACCGCGTAATTTTATAATTCGAAGACAAAAGGCCGCTCATTCATTGACCACACCTACAAATACACATCCCTATCCTTCTTTTTTCTTCTTTTCTAAAAAGACTTATTATTAAAAAGAAAAAAAAAGAGGAAAATAAATTATTATGGTGCGCGTGCGTTAAAAGAGGAGAAACTGAGAGGGAGAGACCGTTAGCAGGGATGGTTATTTATAGTACGAATGGAGGAGGGAGGTAGGCGACACGCGCGAGGTGGAAGGTGTGGATTGGTCGAAGCTCTAGTTAGGAAGATGCTACTTTATGATCCGAATCTTCGTTGTTTAATTTCAAACGCTGTCGTTGTAGCTTGTGGGGACATCTCATATTCTTTGTTTATTTCTTCCAGCCTCCTTTTTCGCTAATGCCACCCTCCATCCAAAGTCCACATGCGTAGTAATGCAGTCTACTCATTCCTACTTTGTTTTTTTTTTTATTAGGCTGAGGTCAAGGTGGTAAGTAAAAAATATCTTAAAACTAAAAAAAAAAAAAAGTAAATTACCTTTTCCTTCCCCTCTAACTTCCAGGTTGCAGGATTTTTTCCATTTTTTGTGGTGCTTTGGCGTGTTTCAACTTTTAGTATAATTCCAATTTTATTTTTTAATAGTTTCTTAAGTAAAATAATTTATTTATTTGATCTTTCATAAAATATTTTATGCATACCGTATTATATTTTTAATTTGAACAATCCATAATATATTTGGTATTATTAAATCTCTAAATATAGAAATATTTTTTTATAAGATGTAATATTTCGCCCATTGTTGTGCTTAATTAATTTGAAAAAATTTATTTATTCGGATTTTTAGGTGGCATTGAATTTATTTAGTTTAATTAGTTCTATTTAATTTTAATTTAATTTTATTTAATTTTAGTTAGTTCTATTTAATTTTAATTTTAATTTATTTCAGTACAAAAAAAAATCGAAAAAACAGCGAAACAGAAAAAATTCCACAGAGAAGGGGAGCTGCCCGCGCGAGTGCTTAAGCACTGTGCGCACGCACAGCAGGGGCGGGACATCTGCACAGCGTGCACGTCCGATCCGCGCGCATGGCACAGGGTCAAACCCTGCACATATCCTGTCGCGTGCAAACAGGCCATTCACGCATCACCTCACGCACGAACAGGCGTGCACACTGTGCATGCAGGCAGGCCATCCGCGCATCACCTCATGGCAGATAGGCCCCTGAACGCCAGGGGCCTGGGTGCAATAGGCCTGCTCGTGCGGCAAGGAGGGCTATGTGCCTGCAAGCTAGCTTTCAGCGTGCTGGGCGGGCCATTGTCGCTTAGGGCGTCGTGCCGCTGCCGCCAGCAGAGGAGACTTTCCTCCCTCATTTTTCATGTCGAGCATCTTTTTTCTCTCTCTCTTCATCAGATTTCGTCATTTGGTGCGAATCTGACGATTTCTAATTTCTATAAATTGGGTCTTCCCTTCCCATTCCTCCAAACACTTCCATTTTTTCATTTTTCAAGAATTAGAAAGAGAGAGAGAGAGAGAGAGAGAGAGAGAGAGAGAGAAATCTAGAGAGAGAATGAGATAAAGAAAAGAAGAACGATGTAAAAGAAATTATCAAAGTTTCAATAAGAAATTTAGTATTTCTTTAAACGTCTTAAGGATTTTTTTAGATAAAAGAAAAATTATTAAATACAATAATTATAATTTTGCCAGTTTTTGTGTTTATAGGTTTAATAAGCTGAATTGTTCTTAATTTCAAGCATGCTATGTGATATATAGACACTTGATGATTTGCATGTAATAAACATAATATGAAGTCAATATTATTACCTGGAAAAAAAAAGAAAAAAAATGTAGAATGAAGCATGAATGGTATGAAGTATGTATCTGTATTAATATGCATAATGCATCAAGTATCTCGTTAGGTTTTTTATATATGAGGGATATTTTTTTCTCTAACCACAGCCGAGGTATCTGTTTCTCCCTCCCCCATATGGTCTGTAAAAACGTGAGAGAATCACTTTATGTGGCTGACGACGTACCATTTGACGAGAGTGGTGATGCAAATATATATTAGGGGTTACTTTTGGCTAAGTAGTGTTGTGACTATAGAATATCTTATAAGATCACTAAGGTCGATACGACTGTGGTAATAGATCGTACCATGATTTAACAAACTGGAAATATGTTTGAGCAAATTATTGTAATATATATATGATCTGGTCATTCCACATGGATAGCTAAAAATCTGTATCTGCCTTCAGAGATGGAAATTGTAATGATTTCACGAAGTATGACACAAAAATCTAAGCATCTCGTGATTTATTTAATTTTTTTTTATTATCTAGCATGATTTGTGTTTGTTTTGCTTCTATTAACGTGTTGTTTTCTATAATAAACAAATTATTTTCATAATATAAAATAGGTTTACAAAGTAGCCAAATGGTAAGTATTTATGTTAGAATAATTCACTTTTAAAACCTTACGATATTATTTAAATACTATTTCCTTACTTAGTATATGGAACTCACTCTTTCTATGCCCCTCTCCCCCAAATGAGGAACCGCAAGCTAACCTACCTATTGAAGTTTATGAGGATCCCGTGGATCCACAAAACTTGAGTACATGATCATTCCCGCACTCTGATGAGTCCATAGCATAGTAAAAGATGTGGCCCTCTTTTATATTTTGACTTTGTATTTTGTAGCAACTTCTGGCCTCAATTATATGTATGTAATTGGAACTCATATATATTTGTAAATGATTTGTATTAATTTGTTCCGTTGCATAAAATTTTATCATGCACTCGTAATCTTATTTCTGTATCTGATACTCATTTGCCTTAATTAACATTTAGGATGCCATAGATGATATCATAGCAGAATTATGTGGATCAAATCCCTTACGCTAAGGTCTTAGGTAGAAAAATCCTTAAAGTACTTAGGAAAGAAAAGTTCTTTTTTAAAAAAATTAGACCACCAACTCGTATCTTCTTTTCTTTTATAGGAATGACGCGATGAAAACCATCTGTAGAGTGTATTGAGTGATCTGAAGCCCGGATCACCTGACCAGGGCTAAATTTGCTGAACTCTTCTGAGCCATCCAAGGATTTACTGCAGTCATAGGATAAAATCAAGTCAACCCTTATCCACCTCCTGCCCCAGAATACCGAACAGCCGAAATGTCTATTTCTCACAACATACCGAAGTTTAAGAAGCTTAACCCGCCACATTTTGAAGATGGCTCTGACCTCTTAGTAGCCAAAGTCTGGATCCTACAGATAGAGAAGATTTTCTCTGTCCTATACCTAACTAAGAAACAAAAGGTTCCCTTAATAGCTTTTATGCTCAACGGTGAAGCTGAACATCAGTGGCAACTTAAGAAGAAAGTCCTATCTACCCCTACCACCTGGGAAGTTTTCACGGATGCATTCTTTGATAATTTTTTTCCTGCCTATGTCTAAGAAAAGAAGGATGAGGAATTTCAGGATCTCCACTAAGGAAACTTAACGGTTGCCTAGTATGCAGCCCGTTTTATCCAACTGTCTAGATTTGTTCCTTTAATGGTCACCCCCGTTTTGTCCAACGCAACGTCGAGTGCATAATCATTTTCACACTCTGATGAGTCTAGTAGCATAGTGAAAGAAGTGGTCATATTTTGTATTTTGACTTTGTATTTTGTAGCTACTTCTGGCCTCAGTTATATATATGTAATTGAAACTCATATATATTTGTAAGATATTTATATTAAATTATTTCAATGTATAAAATTTTATCATGCACTCGTAATCTTATTTCTGTATGTAACACTCATTTGTCATAATTAGCATTTGGGATGTCACATAAGCTTTTAGTAGTAGACTTGAGTTTATTTGTATTAAAACAAGAGCAAAATATTTTGTGTTTATGAAATCCATAATTAGAATAAACAAAACATATACAATAAGATAAAAAATATAATTATAATTATAGTAAAATAAATATCTCTATAAATAATTACAGTACAATAAGGTTTTTTATCATCATATCTTAAATAAATTAATGTGTGAATAACATGTCAAATCTCACAATATTATATTAAGATAATTTGTTAATTTAATCTAATTTATCGAATTGGAAGTTCCCTTCCAATTCATGTGCTCTTAGTAAAAAAAAACTTTCATGTACTAATAGACTCAATTACATAAGATGTTTTTTGTTATTTATGAGTAAGAGATTCGTTTGCTTATATTTTCTCTTCTTAGTAAACCATCACATCATACATAATTATTATGAAATTGAAAATAATGGTTTGATTTCTATTTACAATCTTAATTAACAGTCAACCAAATATTCTAATTCTAATTAATCACTTGATTTGTGTGATTTAATTTGATTTACCATCAATCACCTAATTTATGGAATTTAATTTGATTGATAGTAATTACACAATTAATTTAACTCCTCTAATATGCCCCCTTAGGATAGAGCTCCTATGGAGAATCTAATTTTGGTCTTTAAAAGTTGAAAGTGAGTGCGTGAAAGAGGTTAAGTCAAGACATTTGCTAATTGATCTTCTGATGACACATGAGTGACACATAGTCACTTTGGATTTGATCTTGAATAAAATGATAATCAATCGCAACATGTTTCATATGTGAATAAAAGACAAGATTGAAACAAAGATGAGTTGCATCAACATTGTCACAATAGATAAACGGAGCAGCATGAATATAAATGCCTAACTCAATTAGAAGAGAACAAATCCAATATAACTCAGCATTTGTAACAACAACATAACGATATTCAGCTTTAGTACAGGATCGTGGAACCATGTATTATTTTTTAAAGGACCAGGATATGGGATTGGGACCGAAGTAAAAAATATAAGCACTAGAAGTGTAGTCATCCTTATTATTAGCCCAGTCAACATCTAAGAAGGCATGAAGAGATAGAGATGTATGATGGTGTAAAGCAAGACCATGATCAACTGTATTAGAAATATAGTGCAGCAAACACTTGACAACATTATAATGATCAGTAGTAGGTCGATGCG